GGGATGCTCGGATTAGGAAAGAGGAGTAATTCTTTGAGGATTAGTCCCTGTTTGACTTGCTTCCAACCTGCTCTCACTTGTGTGCAGTGCAGGGCTCCACAAAGAAGGTGGCTGAAGTTTAAATTTGGAGTTGGGAGCCAGCAGTGTCCATGTCATCATCCCTGCTTGATCCTGGAGATATTTGGACAGATATCCCCAATAGGAGTTAATGCTGCCTCGGGCTAATGCTAATACTGCTGACTAATTGCCTAAGGCAGCTCTAACTCCTGCAGCGTCTCTGCCGCAGCTGCTACTGAACAGCTGTGGGGAGCTCAGTACGACAGCTGCCTGGCTCCTGCTCTCCCTGAAGTCCATGGGAGATGAAGCAATACACAATGGGACTAAATTCCTTCTGAAGTTTCCAAAGGACCACAGATTCAGGATGCTCCCTCCAACTACTGCAAGTTAGATACATTTACAGCTTCTTATTTATTTCTAAATAATGGGCAAATGTTGTACTCTTGGACTTGCTTGAGTTTAACTGAGTGTATGCCAATGCTGAATTGTTAAGAATTCTTCCTTTCAAAGGAAAACAGACTATTGCAAAGTAGGGGGTATTTGAAAAGATGAGGTGATGCCATTTGATGAAGAATGGGCCATCAAAACACACTCCCTTTAAGGAATTATTCAGATAAAAATACATCTTGTGACAAGGTAGAAGAAAGTCAAGTTTCTAATGCTCTATTGCTAATATTATTGATTGTTCAGCAAGATTCTGACAATCTTCTGGTACAACTGGAATTTTCTTGGCCGAAACTTTTTATTTTTGTTTTATATGGGTAGAAAGCACAGATTTGGTGTCACCAAAGCATTTGCATCGTTATGCCACTTTTGTCAAATTGTTAGCATAATTCAAAACAAAACAGAAAGCCAGAATGTTTCCATTTCAGCTTTAAAAAAAAAGAAACATTTTGATCTTTCAGTTCAAAATGCTTGTTTCATTCCAAAATTTCTTTCAAAGTTATGTACAAAAAAGATTAAAATTCACACAAAATAAAGTAAAATTAAAAAAAAAAAGTTTTTTTTGTGGCAAAACAAAACATTTCACTCTGCCCCAATATATATATACTTTTTTTTCAGGACTGCCAGTGAAACACAAACACTCAGGTATTTGCACAGCTCTGCTCATTTTGTATACTGTTCCTGTTCAAACTGTCCCCCTGAAGTCACATGGAAACCAATGGAGTTGCTTAAGGATAACAATACTACAAGCCAAGCATCTCTTTGTAGTTACAGGATGAGATTCCAATTTCAGCTTCATGAAAGTAAATCTACAGAAACTACACCGAAACCAATTAAAATCGATATAAATGGGTGCGTGTACACAAGAGACTTAATGCACAGAAGAGCAACTCTACTGCATATTAGCGTGGTGCTAAAACCTGTGCTAACGTGTAATGCATAGTAGATTTAGTCTAATAAGCATTAATGCCACTTAAAAAGCATTCATCAGCACTAATACACAGTAGCGCTGATTATGATGCACTAAGTTAATACCTGTCATTACAGCTACTAAACTTAATGCACTGTAATTATGTCACATTAATGAACATGTAGAGGCACCCAATGAGATCCGGTTCTGCCTCTAAGCATTAGACAGAAATTCAGTCTATCCCAAAAGAAAAGACAAAGAAAGAACAGGAAAATAGAATTGCACAAGTCTCATACATCTCTCCTCCCACCGCAGAGCCAGGAGTGAAGAATGTATGGAGGAAAGCAGGGGAATGGTAGGTTTCTGGATCCATCCTCATATTAGTTGGACAGTACAGCTGAGCCAGAAGAGGTGGCATAGTAGTGGGTATCACCCACAAGGAGGCCAAGAACATTGTGATCATGGACGTCACTATCCCGTTCGAGAACCAGCACCAAACCTTCACCGATGCCCAGGCTCGCAAGTGGGGGAAGTACACCCCCGTGGTCAACATCCTGAGGGGTTGTGGCTATGACGTGACAGTCAACGCGCTCATAGTGGGAACACTGGGAATCTGGGACCCCAGCAACGAGAGCGTCCTACATGCCTGCCGTGTCTCCTGCTGCTATGTCAAGCTGATGTGCCAACTCATGGTGTCCGACACAATCCGTTGGTTCCACAACACCTATGTCAAGCACATCCCGGGACACCGCCAGTACACTGACCCCAATGGATCGACCACCACCAGACCGCCTGAACCCCGCTCTGCACCTGATGGACTCTGAGAGGACTCTTCAATGACAGACCACTCCACTCCACCTGAAAAGGACCCCTGTGATAGACTTTATGGACTGAGCAACTTCTTCAACCTACCCCCTCCACCATTGTGGACCGTTGTACAGGTTTGTGTGTACTTATCCTCTTTCTCTCTCAGTGTTGCAACCCCCCTCCCTCCCCTTCCCCCACCTCTTTCCCCACCCCTGGGCTTAGTTGGCTAACATTGCATTTTCTGTAACCTAGTTGCATTCCCCTCCTCACCTCCTTCCCTCTTCTATTAGTCCCTCGCTCGGGCACTCTGTATTTCCCTCATAGCTTTGTCATCTTTTTTGGTTCATCAGTCTTAAAATTGACTATTGACATAGACCAGAACTGGGTTACTAGCCCTGGAAGTAAGTACAAGGCAAAGGTGCCAATAAAGACAGGTCTACGTTGTGTTGGACTGTGCTAAGGAGCACGGCTGTGAAAACGTGCCCCACTCACAACTGTTCCATGAACGCTGCATGCTGGGAAAAAGAAAAGGAAAAATACAAGAGGAATCGCATAGTAAATGCCTAATGGTTCCTATTTATTTATTTTTAGCATGGGGTGCAAACAGGGCCAGCGTGAGTGGGCAGGACACGTTCTCACAGCAGCACCCGTTAGTACTGTCTGACATAGTCTACACATACATTAAGTCACAGTGCCTAACGGGGCAAACTCTTTGGCTAGAACAACCTCCACATGGGGGTGTGACAATCTCAGTCTCTTACATTGTGGAGGGAGGTTGTGGAGGGATGAAGGGCCTTTCCTTACCCCCGTCTTACCCACATTGACTTACATTTACTCGACTGGTAAGGGGATGCCTCTGCACAGAATGCCGAACGCAGCCACACATTTTTGAAGTCCTGCTGTCAGGCTTGAAGAGTTTAGCCAGCCCTAAGAAAGCAAAGTAGCCTTTTAGACTATCTCAAGTGTCTAAACTTCCTAGTATATTATACCGATCAATACGGTTTTTTCCCCCCTTCCTAACCACATAAGCTGCACAAGGTGAAAAAATGTCACTGAATTAATATTTATTTTGTAACATAAAAGAGCCCAGTGCTATCTACAAATAGTCTAATTAATTGGGATTAATTTCATGTGCAAAGTTTGCCTCTGCAGGTGTTGATGGAGTAATACATCAAAGAGGCTTCACCTCTGTAAAAAATCAATGCTAAAGTAACCTTGATTACTGTCTCTGTTGATGTCACACATAACACTAATCAGTCATGGTTTGCACTGAACATTATTATGAACAAATATTATTCGTTCCCTTATTGGCATTTTTCAAGACCCAGGGATAATATTCACTGCAGTTCTCTAAGAGAAGGTTTTCACCCTTGGGAAATTGTACAGGCTGTAACAGGAGCACATGGGGAGGGTTGGAGAGGAAAATTGCACATGCCTGAAAATAGAAAATAAAGGGAATTATGCTCCATGGAACTTGTAGACTCTCTCTCTCCCCATCCCCCTTCCTCCCCTAACTTTAAAGCTGGAAAGTACATTTTAAGCAATGTCAGATTTCTAGAGGGAATGCTTTACAATAGAAGAGTGTGATCTCTGGAGACGCTGGGGCTGAAATACCTGACCTACGAGGTACCCAAGCCTAATACAACCAAACAAAACCTCAGAGTGGACGCACCTGGCTCACCTTTAATAAGGCGCTCCATCGATTTCTGTGATTGCTACTTTTATTCTCCAAAGTGAGCAAACATTTGTCACCCTCTTCGGGTTGCTTCATGGACCCCTTTGTATGTGCACATGTGTGTGTTTTACTACTGCTATGGCTTTTTATGGCTCCCATCATAGCAAATCACACAAGTGTATTAACTCCGGTCCTTCAGCTCAGGATCTGACCCAACCCCTGCTGAAATATGCTTGTTGACTTTAATCCATTGGCATCATCTATAGAGGATTTCTTCCTGACTGAAGGTTCACTATAGACCAAATAAGACTAGTTTGCTCACTCCTACTCAGGAACACCAAATGCCAGCAAAGAGGTAGTGAGGATGGCTTTGGAGAGGCCTCAGCCAGCTCAGAATGGACCTGAGCACATAACCCAGCATCCTTTCCTTTTCGGAGAACCTGCATATATCATTGAGGCTTGCTGTCAGGTCTGCTCCACCCACTCTGATCTGCTCAGGCCATTCCTGAGCGGTCTTCACTGGCTAATTAATGCTCTCAGGTGCTCCCACCCCAGGAATAAGTGGTGGTGGGGGGTGGTATTTTTTTTGCCAGTGGCAGCCCTGGGATCAGGAGACAGGCCATATAGGTATAACTGGTGTGGCTAAGCTCTGACTTAAGGCATGGCTTTGAGGACCACGCCAGGAGACGCATGGGAAATGAAGTACTTCAGAAACCATTCTTACCCTACTTCCCTTATCCTCCAGGCACTCATGTGAACAGAGAGGAAATGGAGCCAAGGCTGTGTCCATTTGCTCTGCACTCACTACTCCTTCCTGCTTTTTCTCACTCATACTCTGCACACACGCTCTTGGAAAAAAAAAAAATCAAGTTTACGGCTACACTGCTGGACACAAGATGGAAGGAGCCTGAGTAAGATTAGTTCCTAGGTTAATTTTGACAGTGTGCATGGGCCAAAGAGTCAATGTTGTTAACTAGACACTCAAATACGGTTCA